ACGACACACTACGTATCCAAACACCAAGAACCAAAAACTACGAACCAAGAACCTTCGTCTCTTGAGTCGCACAAATTTATAGATTTTTTTACAGCAGTCGCCTCTCCATTGGTCTCTCATTGTCACCTGGTGACAATTCGAAACCTAATGGAGGGCGCGGGAGAGGTTAACATAGCGACTGAATATGATCCTCTCTCTCGTCGCGTTTTCCTCGAATTTCTCCGTTTCCATTGTTTAACTAATTTTCCGAAAAAAACCAATTGCATTGTTCAATCGAGACACCTAATCCGTTTCCTTAGCGTCTGAAAAGGAGCTCTTTATTTTCGATCGAACCCATAATTCGGACCTCTCAGTCGACCCATGTTCGGGTCCTCACAAATAGTCAATAAGTTGCCAAGTGTTGATATATGTCACCTTAGTGTGTCTGCAAAGAAACAGAAATAGTATGTAATCCTTTTAATTTGGTAATTGAGAATGGGGAAAAGAATAATATATTCTTTTGTTCCCAGAATGTTATGATAGACATGACAGACATACAATAACATACAGATTTTGCCAAGATTCTTAAGTGATAAGAATTTGTCAAATATAATTAATCCTTTATTTAAATAGTTGTAAGAATATGTTTGTTGATAAAATTAATGTTAGGCCTGTGCTAACTATTATGATTGTTGCAATTGTGTTATTGCTTTTTTCAGTTTGTGTTCAAAGAAATAGAATTTTTACCATTTTGTACTACAACTCAACTTTTTATACCATATGCATTAAAAAGCTCTATATCAGGAAATTTAATAAACAACCATTGATAATGGATTTTAATTTAATAAAGAATTAGACACTGCACCTCTAATAGTGGATGAAGTTGGAGAAATGCTAACATTTTTGACACAGCTAATAGGACACCTCAGATATAGATAAGTGGGATGCCAGTGCAGGATAGAAAAGAAAGATGGGATAGCATTTCTCCAACTTCACCCACTGCTAAAGGGGCATTGCTTAATTCAGTAGATAAACTACAGTGGATAGTTTAACCTTGATAATGGATTTTTAGGTATTTATAAACTCTCAGCAAATTAGAAAAGCTACTGAAATTGTAGATTTTTCTTAAAACTTTCTACTTGTGGGTACTAAGAGGGCCTTATTTATCAAGAACATTATGGGTTTGGCCAAGTGGACCATCCAGATATGTTGAGTTCATCTCTCATCACCTGCTGGGTGGTGAGGGATGAATTCAACATATCTGGATAGTCCACCTCTCTGAAAAATTCCTGGGTTTTTTCAACCCATCTGCATTTGGTCCACAAAGCAGTAGGCTGCCACCTGGGTGGTTACTCAGCCATCAGAGATTGAAGATTAAATGCTTGTTTCAGTTGTATTTTCTGATAGCATAGGCCAGTGATGGCAAACCTTTTTTTGAAAATGGGTCAAAACTGAATTCAAAATTTAACTCCAAATTGTGGGCCAAATATTTAATTTGAGTAATTACAAAATTAAAAAAAAGCATACAAATTTTACTTTATTTAATTTTTTTAATCTATATGATAATTAGTGTTTGCTGTTTTTATTATATTCTAAATAACTTGGCATCCCATTTACACATTAAAATAACTCACTTATCTTCTAAATTGAGGATAGTAACTATCTTTTTATTTACTGAAACCATTTTGACTATGTATAAGTCATTTTCATTAGTCATTGCATAATAGAATAAATACAACTGACCTTTGGAACAAGTTGTGGAACATTGTTAACCTCTATATAAGCTTAAAGAAAATATTAATGTGATTATAACAAAAATATTTCATTTAATAGGAAATCTTCTGTTGTTTATCTGATAACTTTTCTAGGTTTATAATTAGTGGTCTTTAAGACTTTTCACACAGATTTCAGACCTTTGATAGTACATATCCAAGGTTTTGAAATCTATCAAATATTTTGTGATTTATAAGAACCTAATACTTTCTAAACATTCAATGTGGGACTTGGCTGGCAAAGCCATCTTCAGTCAATAACTCTCCAATGCTGGGATAGAATACATATACACAACATACCAATACCAGCACAGTTGAAATTTAAAAATATTTACTAATGTTTTCATCCGTTTATAACAGACATCTTCAGGCATATAACACAGAACAAAATGTTACATTCATGCATTATATTCCTGAAGATGTCTGTTATAAACAGATGGAAATGTTAGTAAATATTTCTTAATTTCAAGTGTGCTGGTATTGGTATGTTTTGTATGTTTGTTTATTTAATGTAGGGACATTGAAATTGTTGCACAGGTTATGGGATTGCCATCATTGGTGTAGATCTTTAGGCTTTTGTTTGAAGTTTGGACTTTTGATTTAAAGAACTCAATCACATTACTTTAAAAAATTATTTCCTGGCAACAGTCTCCAGGGTGGTGTTTATAAAAGTTAGGAGTGTAAAATGACATGTTTTATCATTGATATTTGAACTAGTTCAAAGCATATAAGTTAAATTTTTGAATATTTTTATTAGTTTCATCTATTTATTTAAAAAAACCTTTTTAAGGATTTTTTTTCTTGATAGTAGCAAATTTTAAATTTACTGATTTTAAAAGTAATATAGAGTAATACTTTATTAATAAATATTGGATTATTTTTCTAGGAATCAAAATTTAAAGAAACAGGTGTCTTAACTCCAGAAGAAGTAAGTTAATTTAAAAATTATACTATTTAAAAATTTTTCTTTATTAAATGAGTTAATAAATTTGTGTGTTTATATAAAGGTGTTTTGCAAAATATATTAAGAGGGAAGAAATTAAATTTAAATAGTGAAATTAATTTTTGGGTTACTGAACTAAATACCTTCCTAGTTTTATTGACTGGTTACAGTTTTTACCCATTATGTTTTTATTTATAAATTCGTTTTATTTTATATTGTTTACTAGTGTCTGAATATCATTATAATGTGTATTTTGCCATATTTTGGCTATTTTAAGTATCAAATTAAATAATTTAAAATACATTAAGTTATTTTTTACCTGGAGCAGTCAGTAGTTGACGATCAACTAAATATAACTGAAAGATGTATTTGTTTAAATTTGCAGCTGTCAGGTTGGCAAACTGAAAATATTATAGCTATGTATTCTAGTTAAAAAATTTATTAACTTAGAATAAGAATTAGACACAACAGATACTAACTGTGTACAAAATGGACCCGTGACATTTAAAAGCACTTTGAAAGAGTATATAAGTCTACTCTAAAAACTGGTTATACTTAATAAAAAACTCATTCAACACTAATATTAGCTCAATATTACAAGGTGGTTTATTAATATGAATGTTTTTGTCTGTTTAAAATGGACATCCTCAGATATGTAACTGGTATTAGTATTTGAGCGAGTTTTTTTTAATGAGTAGATATGCAAAAAAATGTTTATCATATCTGTGAGCTGCTGAAGTTTTACCTTCAGAGCATCAATAATCATAAATATATGCTACCTGGATATAATTTGTACCCACTTAGTAAATTAGTAATAGTAAATATNGGTTACTGAACTAAATACCTTCCTAGTTTTATTGACTGGTTACAGTTTTTACCCATTATGTTTTTATTTATAAATTCGTTTTATTTTATATTGTTTACTAGTGTCTGAATATCATTATAATGTGTATTTTGCCATATTTTGGCTATTTTAAGTATCAAATTAAATAATTTAAAATACATTAAGTTATTTTTTACCTGGAGCAGTCAGTAGTTGACGATCAACTAAATATAACTGAAAGATGTATTTGTTTAAATTTGCAGCTGTCAGGTTGGCAAACTGAAAATATTATAGCTATGTATTCTAGTTAAAAAATTTATTAACTTAGAATAAGAATTAGACACAACAGATACTAACTGTGTACAAAATGGACCCGTGACATTTAAAAGCACTTTGAAAGAGTATATAAGTCTACTCTAAAAACTGGTTATACTTAATAAAAAACTCATTCAACACTAATATTAGCTCAATATTACAAGGTGGTTTATTAATATGAATGTTTTTGTCTGTTTAAAATGGACATCCTCAGATATGTAACTGGTATTAGTATTTGAGCGAGTTTTTTTTTAATGAGTAGATATGCAAAAAAATGTTTATCATATCTGTGAGCTGCTGAAGTTTTACCTTCAGAGCATCAATAATCATAAATATATGCTACCTGGATATAATTTGTACCCACTTAGTAAATTAGTAATAGTAAATATAAAATAGTAAATGAAAGATTAATAAATTTCATTATTTGAATTTAATCACTGTTTCTTTATAGATAAATGAATGCTACACTTTAAATTACTGTAATAATGGTAATTATTATCCAAGAAGTATGCATGTACTGTACACCAGTCAATAGAGTAACTGTCAGCAGTGGCATGCCATCATTGGAAGCAATGGATACACCACTTCCCTTGTATTTTCTAAAAAATAAATACATATTAATTTTAATTATGTGAAAATAATCGCACAATATTTTATTATAACCACATTACGTATCTTATTACAAATTTCTATACTACACTTGAAAAAAAAAAGATAAGATTGCTATTGTATATTCGAATTAGTGGTGGAGTGGAAGCGCTGTATTGTCAGCTTCCAAACATCCAGATTCGCGCATGCGCTTTACAGAGCACAAACCTCACTCGGTTTAGCCGGTGGAAGCCAAGGACCTCGGATGGATGCTATACATATACCGCATCCAATTCTATCCAGGACTGGTTCTGGGCTTTTAGCCGCATGCCTGCTAGATATTTGGCCGCCCTCACCCGATTACGTGAATCACGAGTAGATTTATAACTTAACTCAACCGATAAGAATTTACTGGTATGATTTTATGATAGTTAAAAAAATCCATTAAAATATTTGATATTTTTATTCCGCTCTCCGATTTTATATTACTCATGGATTTCAATGTTAAACCGGTGATATTACGATTTCGTATATCCCATCTTTAAGGGGATGTAGAAAAAAATGTGTACAATCAGAGAAGGCATTTTGTGTTCTGCAATTTGAAAAGTTGGAATTATTTATCATTGTGCAACATGAGTAATCTGCAGGAGTTGTAGAATTGTGGCTGCTGTGGGAGCAGTGACAAGATATGCTATAGTGAGTGTAGGAAGAATTTGAGTATTGATTGGATGTGTGCTGTGACACAAGGTGCACATTGAGAAATTGTGAGAGGAAAATGTGAAACTTGGACACTTTCCAATGTTTTAATGTACATTACAAAATTCTCAGATAATAATTAAGATAATTATATTAATTTAAAATGGTAGCATTCTTTTTGTAAGGCTCCATATCTGAGTATAATCTTAATTCTTTAATACTTGAATGATTTGGTCTCCTATTCTGCTCTAGTTTTCTTTATTAATATAAAATTATATTATATATAATCATTACTGCTTNTCTTATTACAAATTTCTATTCTACATGTGAGAAAAAAAAGATAAGATTGCTATTGTATATTCGAATATTAGTGGTGGAGTGGAAGCGCTGTATTGTCAGCTTCCAAACATCCAGATTCGCGCATGCGCTTTACAGAGCACAAACCTCACTCGGTTTAGCCGGTGGAAGCCAAGGACCTCGGATGGATGCTATACATATACCGCATCCAATTCTATCCAGGACTGGTTCTGGGCTTTTAGCCGCATGCCTGCTAGATATTTGGCCGCCCTCACCCGATTACGTGAATCACGAGTAGATTTATAACTTAACTCAACCGATAAGAATTTACTGGTATGATTTTATGATAGTTAAAAAAATCCATTAAAATATTTGATATTTTTATTCCGCTCTCCGATTTTATATTACTCATGGATTTCAATGTTAAACCGGTGATATTACGATTTCGTATATCCCATCTTTAAGGGGATGTAGAAAAAAATGTGTACAATCAGAGAAGGCATTTTGTGTTCTGCAATTTGAAAAGTTGGAATTATTTATCATTGTGCAACATGAGTAATCTGCAGGAGTTGTAGAATTGTGGCTGCTGTGGGAGCAGTGACAAGATATGCTATAGTGAGTGTAGGAAGAATTTGAGTATTGATTGGATGTGTGCTGTGACACAAGGTGCACATTGAGAAATTGTGAGAGGAAAATGTGAAACTTGGACACTTTCCAATGTTTTAATGTACATTACAAAATTCTCAGATAATAATTAAGATAATTATATTAATTTAAAATGGTAGCATTCTTTTTGTAAGGCTCCATATCTGAGTATAATCTTAATTCTTTAATACTTGAATGATTTGGTCTCCTATTCTGCTCTAGTTTTCTATATATAATTTTATATTAATAAATTATATTATATATAATCATTACTGCTTGTTATTTTTTTGTTACTTTTTAATTACTATCCTCAGATTTTGCAGTACAGACAAACATGTAGATTTTCTTTTCAAGATAAATGTTTTTAGTTTTTTAAATTTATTTGGATTACTATTTTAATCCATAAGACTTATACTTTTTTTTATTTATAGAGATAAAAAAATTAATATAAACATTTTATAAGAATTAAAAGCTTTTTATTTAACTTAATTTTTGTATTTTCAATAAAACAAACTAAAAATATTTTTAATAAATTCATGAAATGGTTATAAAAACTTAATTAAAAAATAACAAGCAATTATTTATTGCGATGTCATCACAATGCTGGACTGCAATTTTTAATCATATTTTTAAAAATTTAATTAAAAATATATGGTCTAACTTTATTCCGGATAAAATTTTAAATTGAATAACATGACTTCCAGTCCAAATAGAATGTTAGTACGGGTAGCCCTCGGTTTATGCCGCAGTTCCGTTCCTACAAAAGCCGGCGCAAATCGAATCGGCGTAAAGTGAACCCGTATTTACAGTGACGTATAGGGTTAGGTTCTACATAAGTGAAAAATAAGCTAATAATTTTGTTTATTAATACAATATAATACAAAATACATATAAATTTTTAATTTTTAAAGTGTATTTTATCATAAAATAAAGTAAAATGTTTTTATTTAAAAATTTTAGTTTCGAATTTCTTACATTTTTCGGAAAAAAGTATCCATCTTTAATTGTTTACATTTTTTATTTCTTTCATTAAGACTTTTGGAATATGGTCGAATATGATGCTCCTTTTTACATTTGCACTTTGCTCCCAACATTGTCTAACTCATAAACTTCATCTGTCAAACTTTCCTTAGTTGAAAGGATACGTTAACCCAATGTAGAGCTACAGACGAGCGAAGACACTGATTGGTCGACCACCGGTCGCATATATAAGGTCAGTTTGAGCAGGAAAATTCAAGGTGGCTAAGGAGAGATAAATATCGTCTGGCCAACAAGAAGTAGATTTGTCTCACTAATGATAATTTGTGATCGCCGGAAGTGCTATTGCGTCGTAAGGTGTTTTCCTGAATGAACTGATATGGGATACATTCATTGGCGCTATGGATTCGGACATCATTTATTGGACTATTAAGTTTAGTATCTTGACTCATGGGTACCTGAACGTTTAGTATTTTAATATTAATTTAATGCAAATGTATACATACCCAATAATATTATAGATAGGGAAAATCGGGGAATTACACCTCGAAATGGCGAATTGCGCAGCGGCATTATTGTGATTCGGCGTAAATTGAACCGGAATAAACCGAGGGCTACCTGTATATTGTTAATCAGGACCCTC